TGGTGGGTAGGGGGGCACATTGAGGAACCTCCTGGCCCCTTGGGGCAGCAGAGAGAGTAAATCTGGCAGTGGGGTGGTTTGGGAGCGGGGATCAGGGAAGTGAGAGTCCCTTTTCCAAGTACCCTAGACCTAAACAAGCATTTAACCCTTGCAGTGCAGGGGGAGTTTTGTGGGGGTTTTTCCCGGCGTTCAATGGCCAGATAATAAATCCGAGAGACATCCTGAACCTGTAGTATTTATCTGTCCTATGGATTCATTGAACTCCCTTATATTGTATCAGCGCAGAGCTCTGTCCTTGTAACATTTTCCTTTAATCGGTGTCTGATAAGCGTGGCCGTGCCTGGGTATGAACCCTACAGATGGTGGGATGGTTTTCTCCGTAGCAGCAAACATTGCCTGGACTCTGACACCACCCATTCCCATTATACATTAGCTCTTCTCCCCCGGGTGGCTTATGGGAAAATGCATGAACGGCTGAACCAGTGAAAGTGATTAGGATGCGTTTCCAGGGAAGGATGATGACTGCAGGCAATTTAGTTAATGACTCACTGGAAACATCCAGCAGCTGCCTCCGATGATTTATTTGCAGCTTTTAAACCCGTTTTCTATAACAGTTTATGTCAAAAAGGAAGTTTGTAACGCTCAGATTCCTCCAACATGAAGTCATGTGAATTGTAAATTGAAAGCAGAACTTCAGCCAAGACGTTTTGTTTTACAACTGCTGCCCGGTATTTGTTGCTGTATGTGACCCCGTTGAGGAGATTTCCCCACTTCCTGTCCCTGTGACACCCAGATGAGGGGCGGATGTCACCAGAATAGGGGGCAACACGTCCCCCGTTTTGCTTCAGAGAATGTTGCTGTCTGTTTCTCCATCGCATTAGGTGTATTGGCTTTGTGTCACCAGGACAAGCAGTGAAGGGAAATCTGCTCAAACGGGGGGGGAAACCAAGCAATAACAGACAGAGGCTCTAACCTTTCCCTCCAGCAATCCAAAAAAATGCTCTGGCTGCAGTTTTTTTTTTTTTTTTTACCGGCTCCTCTTCCGGACTGAAATTGCTTAGTGTGATTCCACTGCATACAGCGAGCTTCTCCTAATGTGCATAAGATGCTGCAGCAAGTCAGATAGAGCCCGCCTCATTTCCTGGCTGGAGGACGTCCAGCATCATCTAGATCAGGGGCACCCACAATTATTGGGTCCCGGTCCAGTGCGATCTGCAAAAATGCTGCAAGCTCTATTTTTGCAGATTGCACTGGACCGGAATGCAGGCAGGCGATTGCACTGAGGGCGGGGGGCATGGCTGCGGTGCCATTGACTTCAATACAACCCCGTGCCCCCTCCTGCCCCTGAAAGCAGGGAGTCAGCCGGCTTGCATTCCAGTGTGTTCTAGAGGCGCCGGCGTCCTGTCCTCCAGCGGTGCTCATGTGGCCGACGTTGAGAGGTGTGATCAGCTGATCGCTCCAGTGTTTGTCCTGCACAGAGGATTGGTATATATCACTGATATGCAGCGGGGGATCCGAGGAGAAGTGAGGAAAAGCACTTCAACCGCGGGGGGAGGGTGTCATTCGGATGGAGACACTGTCACAGCAGCATGTGCGGTGAGGAGAGAGCGAGCTGCCGGCTGTCAGATCCAGGCCGAGCGTCTCTCTCTCTCTCTCCCTCCTCACCGCTCGGCGTGCTGCTGTGATAGCGGCTCCACTCCCCCCCACCGCCGACTGCAGCGCTTCGTACACTTCTCTGATCCCCGCTGCATACAGATGGGGGAGAGCAGCGGGGAAGCTGCTCGGAGAGAAGCCCCACGGCAGGAGGACAGGACATCACGATCTACCAGGGATCGCTTTGCGACTGGTAGATCGCGATCGACCTAATGGGCACCCCTGATCTAGAGCTTGTCTCCCCCAGCCTGGCTGTCCCTAGCCAGCCCCTTTTTATTCATTGGATTTCAGTCCTTTTAACCATGGAAGCTCAGCATCCCTTGTGGGGTCTACCTAGGGTAGTCTGCATACTTGGGTTGGAATGTCACTTTAATGTGTGTGGTCAGCCTTGCACAGTCCAATCCCAGCAGACTGTGCTATGGGCTGGGATATTGCGGTCTATGACCACGCTATGCTGTAGCTGCCGTCAGCCAATCAGAAACCTTCTTTCAGTAGACCGCGCAGTCAGGTGATATGGTTCCATTATTACTAGTTGTGTTTGATAACAGCGCAGGAAGCCGGTCTGCTGGAACTCGGCGGCGTCTGCCTTTTGGCGTTGATCCCGTCTGGCTGGCGGGCAGATGTCTGCCGCGTGTTTGCACACAGTCTCTGGTTTACATTAACGTCTGCTCGTCTCTCCTCCTCAGGGCCGTCTACTTTGCTTCGTACTCTAAAGCCAAGGAGCAGTTCAATGCAATATTTGTACCTAACAGTAACATCGTGCACATGTGTTCTGCGGGATGTGCAGGTAATCCGAAAACTATGACAACCGTCTACCATGTCGCTAAAATACAAATGTACAAAATGCCCCATATGATGTTTACATCTCCCGCTGCACCACGTGAGCTGCTGATTCCGGCTGTAATGAAGAGAAGACGCCACCGGAAGAAGCTTCACATTCCGACACTTCCGGGAGTGTCGAATTCTCGCCCCCCCCCACTCTGCTCATTGGTTCGATCCATTGACCCCCATGTCACTACTGTGTCCTGCAGTGATGGAGAGGCCAGCAGATCGAGCCAATGAGTACAGTGGGGGGGAACCAAAGATTCAATCTTGGAAGTGTCGGATTCTGAAGACTCTTAAAGCATCAGTTCACTTCATTACAGCAGAGACATGCAGTGTGGGAGGCTGGAGAGAGGTGTGGTAACTTCTTTGCAGAGGTACATTTCTTTTATAACGAGTTGCTTATAAATGTCAGTTGTCTGTGAAATGTTGGGGTTGTAGATCACGCCTAGGAATCCGTCAGATGTCAGGCAAGATTGCAGAGTTACGGAGGAGAGTAAAGAGAACCTGTACTTTGCATAACATTCTAACACTGGCCATGCTCATCAACACCTGGTACTTCCAGGTATGTGAAAACATGTGACACCCCTCCTCCCTACCCACAGTGCGCTGCCCCCCTCTCCTCCCTACCCACAGTGCGCTGCCCCCCTCTCCTCCCTACCCACAGTGCGCTGCCCCCCTCTCCTCCCTACCCACAGTGCGCTGCCCCCCTCTCCTCCCTACCCACAGTGCGCTGCCCCCCTCTCCTCCCTACCCACAGTGCGCTGCCCCCCTCTCCTCCCTATTCACAGTGCGCTGCCCTCTTCTCCTCCCTACCCACAGTGCGCTGCCCCCCTCTCCTCCCTATTCACAGTGCGCTGCCCTCTTCTCCTCCCTATTCACAGTGCGCTGCCCTCTTCTCCTCCCTATTCACAGTGCGCTGCCCTCTTCACCTCCCTATTCACAGTGCACTGCCCTCTTCTCCTCCCTATTCACAGTGCGCTGCCCTCTTCTCCTCCCTATTCACAGTGCGCTGCCCCCCTCTTCTGGCCATCATGCAGTGCTGCTTACCCCCAATTAAAAAAACAGCATCCATTAAAAAAACCTGAAATGTCAGTTTTGGGTGCACAGGGTCCCAACTCTGGTCAGCCATTAACTGCACTACAGTATGAAAAAATGATTTAGATCAGAGTGTGGCCTGATGGGGCCTGTAATATAACTTTGTTCCACTCAAAAGCCTTCACGGAGGGTGCAGACCGAATAAAGTCTTTTGACTTCCTAGACTTGGACCCCCGCCACCCTCCCTGCCACCCAAGCACCATTTCATGCTGTCACATTAGTTGGTCAGACATTTGATAAGGATTCTATACATGTATGGAATTCCCTCTTATCTAAATTTAAATTGAAGGTTTTTTTTAATTCAGCGTATAAAATGGTCAAAAGATTTCTTTTAAAGACCCCCCTAGGATGCCCCTGTGTGCAGCTGCGGGCTATGCCCCCCTCTAATGGCCGGTTCTCAAGGGCAGAGAACAAGCGGCTCATTGTCCCTTTCAGCCTGACAACGTCTTTTAGGTGCCGTGAATTGGCCCGCGCTCCTTCTGTGGAGAGAGACTGCAATGATCGGAGCCAACCGGCTGGTCTTATTACAGCGCAGAGAAAGTACGGATATTGTGCACTTCTGATGATGGAGCAGCACAGGCTCAGTGGTCGGCATGGCGGTCCTTCCCCCTTGGTACTCAGGGATCAGATATAACTACATGTTATAACAATATTCTTTTACATAATTCTGTTGGACTTTTTGGCTCCTGTTAGTCTCTTTTCACCATATCCTGTATAATTATACTGTCCCATTGGGTCTCAAGCCCTGCTCCATAGAAGCCATGAGTTCCATACACCGCACTGATGATGGCCAGAAAGCCTGAAACAGCTGTATGCAGTTTGGAATAAATGGCTCTATAAAATCCCATTATAAATGGCTCTATAAAATCCTACAAATCCCATCTTCCTTTTTCCTCCAGGAGTCATGCATGTGGCCGTCAGAGTCTTGCAATGCCTTTTGGGACTTGTAGTTCCACCATAGCTGAAGTGCAAGGTTGCCGACCCCCGTGCACTATACACCGGCGGTTTTGAATGTGCATCTGGCTAGTGGGAGATAAGGGGATGATTTGCATGGCTCCGCCCACTGTCCTGACATGCAGAATAAGCCTCTTATTTTTCGGATGTGTGTTGGAATAAGACATGTGAATACCTTCTGCTCCAAGAGGGCTTCACTGTGCTCCCTTCAAATGTCATTTCATCAAACCCTGTATTACTGACCGTTCCTTGCTATGGGCAATCAATCATCTGCTAGGTACAATCTCTCAATATATGAGGTTCACCTGCAGCCCCCAAGCTGCTGAGTGACTACATGCCATGCCGGGACTTGTAGTTCCCGAGCTGGAAAGCAGCGAACTGCCATGCAGCCTGCAAGGTTTCCTGTACAGCGACAGCATTGCAGGGGTACGTGGATGAGAAGAGCTGCCTGCCGCTATGCAGTACATTAATCCATCTGAGACATTGCTCAGGCCAGCTGAATTGTATGGCTGACTGCCCCACTGTAAATAGACTGTACATGGATGAGCCAACAAACAAGGTTATGTAACAGGGTGAGCGCAATGCAGAGAAGCTGAACGCCGCCATCTAGTGGGAGGCTGTGGTCATTACAAGTCATTGCATCAGCAGTGCAGCTACGCTACTGCATTTAAAGGGCTGTCCTGTAACTACCGCGTTTCCCCGAATATAATACAATGTCTTATTTTTTTTTGGCTCAAAAAAACACACTAGGTCTTATTTTCGGGGTAGGTCAGTCTCTGTAATCTGCAATTCATCCAGTGATACAGATTACTAATGAACATGGCTGAAATACATATACTGTATATAGAAGATTAAAACAAAGTTGTTTTACCTGCCAAAGGATTTGTTTCTGTCCATCTAGTCCTGAGATTAACACAGCTCTGTCACACAGCACAGTAAGGATCTTATACAGGTCCTCAAACATTCTACACATTCATTTCACATAAATGTATACGGAGAATGGTATAGTTGGCTGCATACATTACAATGAAGCCAGACAGCTCTGGGCCCCCTGTGTCTCCGGGCCCCAGAGCAGTCCTATAGTGTGCTATGGCTAAAGGCTATGCCCCTGCATATGTATTGACATATTTTATGGTGTTCCCATGTCTCTGACAGTCAGGGCCACATAGACAAATGTTGACTTTTAGGTCTATTCTGTGCGTGTTTGGCGCATTATAAAAAAAATTACCGTTCGGGACCCCTGGTGCTTCCTGAACTGTGACATACACAGGGGCCGTCACATGTGAATTTAGCTGGGAGAGCTATAAATCTTTATAAGTATAATGCTCATCTCTCTGACTGACTGTTTATAATAAATCTTCTCCTCTTCTGTCTCTTCCCAGCGTTTGTGACGAATACAATGATGAATCCGGTCTGGATGGTGAAAACACGAATGCAGCTGGAGAGGAGGTGAGATCATGATGTGGTCTTATTATGATTTGGTCATCTCCTGCAGACATCAGCCTCCTAAATTGTTCCCGTTGTTCACATCGCTATTAAAAAGGTGCCCCATCACTTCCTGTCCTGGCAGGAAGTCAGGGGAAATCTCTTATAGGGGGACACATAGAGCAATATAAACTCTTTTCCTACCCCCTGTTCTTTCCAAAATTAAATAAAAAGGTTTTTGGCCCCTTTTTTGTACTTGTATTAATATTAACAACATTCCATAAAGTTGGTTTGGGAAAAAAAAAAAGGTTTTTGGCACCGGTAGATACAGAGTTCATTTGCAGTACATATATTTCTGCGGTTTTATTTCCCAAGTATTTGTAAATCTGTTCAGCCAGTTCTGTCATTTATACACTGCATACCTAGGAGAACTGCATTCCTCTTTCCTGTCCCAGCTTTACAGCTTCCTGGGTCACCTGTGTCCTCCATTGTATGAAGGCAATGCCTATTTATTGCCCAGTAGGGAAGAGCTCAAGTCTGACTGAGCTCCTCTGAACAAGGAAGTTCCATGGGCACTTCCACCCAATCAGCTGCTGGGGCAGGCAATTCATGTAAACAAAGGGGCGGGATGCTTGTGCTGATGTAATTTTACGTTATATGGCCACATTGACCAAATATAGGCATGCCGCCATATAAGGTCGAGGACATCACTGCACCCCGCTCCTTTGAATACATCATGCTGCATGCAGGGATTTCTCTGATTTTTAGGGGGCATGATTCTGTGTTCCGTAAGATCTCCTTCCAAGTTCAGGGAGCTCAGGTTCGGATCGGGTTTGGCCTGAACCTGAGCTCATCACTATTTGCCCAGTGAGTAGCCCGAACCTGAGCTCATCACTATTGCCCGGTGAGTAGGCTGGGGTGGCCGAACCTAAGCTCATCGCTATTGCCCAGTGAGTAGAATGGAGGTGGCCGAACCTGAGCTCATCGCTATTACCCAGTGAGTAGGCTGGGGGGGGGGGCCCGAAGCTGAGCTCATCGCTATTGCCCAGTGAGTAGGCTGGGGGTGGCCCGAACCTGAGCTCATCGCTATTGCCCAGTGAGTAGGCTGGAGGGGGCCGAGCCTGAGCTCATCACTATTGCCGAGTGAGTAGGCTGGAGGTGACACAGGAAGCTGCAAAGCTGAACCATGAAATGGGAGTGTCCCTTGCCTCTCTAACCGATCAGGCAGAGGTATGTATATCACAAAACTAGCTGAACAGAATCCCCAAACCTTTGATGTGTAAGCATTTCACATACATGTATTACAACATACAACATTGTCTCGTATTTGTTTGTCAGAATGGATCTTTAAGGTCTTTTTATGTCCCATTTTCCTGTCATCAGGGAGAGAGGATCCAAACAGAAGAACGCTCTGCAGTGTGCCCGCTATGTGTACCAGACGGAGGGGATGAGAGGATTCTACAGGGGCCTCACTGCCTCCTATGCTGGGATCTCAGAGACCATTATCTGCTTTGTAATATATGAAGGTTTAAAGAAGCACCTGGAAGATCTCCATTTAGCCACCAGCAATGGCAATCCCGGCCAGAAATCCTCCTCCAACTTCTTAGGATTAATGTTTGCCGCAGCTTTCTCCAAAGGATGCGCCTCCTGCATCGCCTATCCACACGGTGAGTCTCCATGGCAGGAGAAACACTGACGCTGCCTGGGAAGTCATAAGCCACAGGAGGGCATTCATTGGTTGGTTAAAGAGGCAACGAGGGGAAAAAATATCTCTTCACACCTCAACAAAACATTAAATCTGATCTCTGGCCTTCCCTTCAGTCTTATACAGTTGTAGCGGCTCCTCTCCTGGACTGAAATCACTTACTGTGAGCTTCTCACAATGTGGAATAGAAGCTGCAGCAAGTCAGAGAGAGCCCGCCTCATTTCCTGGCTGGAGGACGTCCAGCATCATCCCAGCCTGACTGTCCCTGGCTCACCCCTCTCATTCATTAATTGGCAGTGGTCCTAGCAACCAATGACTGCAGTGGAGGTGGATACCTGACATCTTTGCTTGCTAGGATACCAGCAGCCCTAGCAACTGATGTCTGCAGAGCAGGTGGACACATGACCTCATTGGTTGCTAGGATGCCAGCGGTCCTAGCAACCAACAACTGATGTGGAGGGGTCTGCACTGGGCTATGCCTTGCAGTGGATGCACCGGCCTTGGAGGCCAATGTCAGCCAGTCATTACCGAGCGCTGGACATAGACCAATCGTGTGATTGGTCTATGTCCAGACTGCGGACCAGAGAGTCACAGCCAAAGGGCCCACGTGCCGTAAAATGCCCAGGTCTGCATAGGTATACGTGATAACTGGTACCCTGAAATACTTGCCTAACTTAAAAAGGCCCTGTACCAGACCTATCATTCCAATCAAAATATTTCCATCGAGTTAAATGAGCATTTTACATCTTCTATGCATTGTCTTTACCTGTAAAAGCCTCCCTTCTATACATATCTAGAAGGCACAAGACTGCTGCTGGACGTCACCATCTTGGATGTAAAGGCAGCAGCCCCAGCAGACTCCGAGCTGTCACTCAAGTGGCATTGTATAATATTCCCCTTTACTCCTCCCTCAGGTTATGTAAAGGGGTGATGGGTGGGACAGAGGTGCTGGTGGGTATTTCTGTATTCAAGTGCAGGCATCTGGTCACATGATCTCAGCTGCCATATAGGCGGGGCCAGAAGGGGAGTGGCTGTAGATCTGTATGATCGGGGTAAGACGTTTGTGCAATGGCTGACTCCTTGTCCTTCTTTCAGAGGTGATCCGTACCAGACTGCGGGAAGAAGGCAGCAAGTACAATACCTTCTGCCAGACGGCGCGTTTGGTGGCACGGGAAGAAGGCTACGCGGCGTTTTACAGAGGACTTTTAGCCCAGCTATTCCGGCAAATCCCCAACACTGCCATTGTCCTTTCTACGTATGAACTCATAGTGTATCTGGTGCGCGACAAACCCAAGTAAATGGGGGGAGAATCGCCCACCCCCCACCCCGAACATTCGCACTGCGCACTGACCAAACACAGACTGGTGTACTGTAACGGCTGCCTGGCCGCTCCGTCATCCGGAGGATATCGAGTTTTGGACTGTTTTTTTTTTTTTAACCTTTCTCTGAGTTGTTTTTTTTCCTTTCTCGGAGGTTTTAGTTATCGTTAATGTTAGTAAATAATTTGTATATTTTGTTATTTTAAGAAAAAAAAAGAACTTGCAGAGTCGTGAGTCCCACTGATGCTGCTAGGTAACGAAATCCCGCTATTTAATTTACCCGGCCCTGGCATTTTTCACAAGTTGCATCTTATTTATATCCATAAAGGATCAGAGTGAAGACCTCTTCATGAGTCCGGTGTCTGATGTCTGACTATGAAGCCAGGGCTTTGCAGTATGTTGATTGGCCAGTAGGTGGTGGAAGCGCACCCAACACAAAGGTGTATTCGAGTATGAAGCCAGGGCTTTACAGTATAATGATTGGCCAGTAGGTGGTGGAAGCGCACACAAAACACAAAGGTGTATTCGAGCATGAAGCCAGGGCTTTGCAGTATGATGATTGGCCAGTAGGTGGTGGAAGCGCACCCAAAACACAAAGGTGTATTCGAGTACAAAGCCAGGGCTTTGCAGTATAATGATTGGCCAGTAGGTGGTGGAAGCGCACCCAAAACACAAAGGTGTATTCGAGTATGAAGCCAGGGCTTTACAGTATAATGATTGGCCAGTAGGTGGTGGAAGCGCACCCAAAACACAAAGGTGTATTCGAGTATGAAGCCAGGGCTTTACAGTATAATGATTGGCCAGTAGGTGGTGGAAGCGCACCCAAAACACAAAGGTGTATTCGAGTATGAAGCCAGGGCTTTACAGTATAATGATTGGCCAGTAGGTGGTGGAAGCGCACCCAAAACACAAAGGTGTATTCGAGTATGAAGCCAGGGCTTTACAGTATAATGATTGGCCAGTAGGTGGTGGAAGCGCACCCAAAACACAAAGGTGTATTCGAGTATGAAGCCAGGGCTTTACAGTATAATGATTGGCCAGTAGGTGGTGGAAGCGCACCCAAAACACAAAGGTGTATTCGAGCATGAAGCCAGGGCTTTGCAATATAATGATTGGCCACTAGGTGGCGGAAGCGCAAACAAAGGTGTGTTCTCACAGTGGCAATCAAATGTTAGGAACTTCCCCCCCACAAGCACGCTGTATGTTTGTTATGTGTTCCCATTTACACAACATCCCTGAAAATAATTTATAAAACATATTTATTACCTTTTTATACTGGTATCTTTGGTTTATACATAGGACCTTGTAGGCAGCCTCCATTGTTCGGAGTAGCTTGCAATGTGTAAATGGGGGACAGCCTGAGGGGCAGTATATATATAATAGTGCAAGGCTTGAGATCGTTAAAGTGCAACCCAAGCCAAAACTTTTTTTTCTTAGTTTTGGATGGAGTGGAGGGGGATTAGAACCTCTGTGTGTATTGCTGTCTCTGTCCCCATTAGGGAGAATCACCCTCTCTGTAGTTATCATTGAAAGTGAAAGAATATCCCAAATTGTGGGTTGTCACTAGAACAGGAACAGATAGGAAATCTTCCAATGGGGACAATAGTTCTGGTGAGCCTGCTGACCACGAGTCATTTCCCTCACTTTGGAAAGATTTTCTCTCACTTCCTGTTTTGGCTATTAGACAGGAAGTGAAGGGAAATCTCTCAATGAAGACCGATGGCAAGGAAAATGGACAGGGCTTATAACCCTCCCTTTGCTCTATCGAAAACTAGTTTTCTCAATTCAGAACGCATTTCTGAACTGGGAAAGCTAGTGAGATGACCAGCAAAACGTCTTCAAGAAAACATGCAGCCAGTCCAGTTGCCTTGAATTATTTTATTTTTTTACAGATGTACCAAGACCTGGAGGAATGAGAACTCTCATAGATATCAATTCCAAACATCCATTGTTAGGGATTCCATCAGCAAATTGCTTCACAACGTTAAGACTTTAATATCACTTGCTGACATAGAAGGGGAAAGCTACATAGGTAGGGGGTATGTGGAGGAAGGCCCC